ATAATATAATAATAAAACAAAGAGAAAAAACAAACGGTCCAGACCCTGAAACTAACTGGGGGTCATTATATATACTATGTCTGTATACATATATAACTTTCTCTATAACTTGTCTGTGCTTGCCTGTGCATTAACTTATATACCTAGCAATAATAACCAATTTTATCGGTGCTTGTCCATAGCTAAAAGTTAATAATCCTTATCAAACAATAATATTAATAGCAATAATAGTAACGGTGATAATAAAAATAATATTATTTTTGCTGCATTAATAGTAGTGCGAGTAATGGTAAATCGATAATGATAATAGTAATAATTAATTGGTAATAACTATAATACACTTTCCCAGAAAAACCTGTACATACACCGAGGCTGCTATGCAGTATAATTCGTGTCCTTTTTTTCTCTCTATTTTAGGCACTATCTAACGAACTCTACGAGTCTTCTGCGCTCGTAGCGAACACCGTTAATAAACTCTGTGATAAATATACATTTCTCATCCTCTTTCTTTCATCTTTTTTTTTTTCCAACATTTTCCTAATACGCTTCGTTACGCACCATTGGAATCAAATCGGTTGCAAGGCGTAGAAAGTACGTACAAGAAAAGAGAACAAAGATAGTAATAATAGTAATACGAATCCTGACTACGAGACTCTGCACTTCTCCGTCAACGATACAGTTCCCCTCTTTCTCGTTTCGTTGCCCTCTATCCCGTGTCTCTGAGAAATTTGGAAAAGCGAGTAAAACTGATATGCAGAGAAATTGATATGCACGCGAGCTGGTGAACAATTCTAGAAGAGACGAGTTTGCCCTCTGGAAGGCAAATTTTGTCCTAGCGAAGAGAACGATCCGATATCAGACCGTGATTACACGCAGAGTTTTAAGGTGCACAGTTGGAGAACATTTTAAGAAGAAGAGAGAACGTATTCGTAAACCAACGTTTCACACACGAACTGCTGAAATCGAAAGAGATGAAAGATTCTCTTTAAAGCTATCACGGTATGAAAACACACCTGTACGATACTTTGTCAGTCCCACTAATCGTATTGCTTTACGTTACTCTATCACGTTCGGTGATACAAAAAGCGAAAAAAAAAAAGAAAGAAAGAAACTCTAACCCGTGACAGACGCCATAATCGTTAAAGAAAAAGAGAGAAAAGAATCGACATAAGCATGAGAAAGCTCGCTAATTTCGCAGGAATATATCTCCGTTTCGTCCGCCGATGTCGCTCGATAATTTTCATTCCTTAAAATACCATAATTGGAATTCTACATGCAGACTACGCCCGCGTAAAATACTGCGACGATATTTTACTTACATAAAAAAAAAAGAAAAGAAAATTGGAACGCTGTTCGGTTACGCGGGCCGATAAAGACAACTTTCAGCATCGTGAAACAATGGTTCCCATATATCGTACATACGCAAACGTAACCGCTTAGTACCCATAGTATTGTGCGTTCGAGAAAAGGAGGCACAGCGTGCTCACATGCTCACTAGCTATCTCCGCTGATTCTCCCTTGATCACAGAAAATGGTGACCGATGATCTCTTCGTGATCACTGTGACGATGGGAGTGTCAGTGGAGTTAATCAGCCGTGAGGATGTGAGCACGCTGTGCCTTCGCTATACTCTCTTCGACCTCTCGTTACAAAAGTCTCTGTTCGACCTAACTGGCCAGATCGTTCGCTACCGATTCCGCTGAAAGCTCGCGCGGCTTACGTTTCCGTGTGTAGAGAAACATGGCGAAGTCGCTCTCGTCGAGCTGCTGGAAAAATCGCTCGCGCGAGTTCCATCGCGCTCCGATACAACGAGATGATCATCGCGGGGGTGAGACAGGCTATGCGATTGGTCCGCGACACACAGGCTAGGTATTATCATCGACACCCGGTACTCTCTTCCACGGTGTCCCCGGTACGACCACGTTCGTCCTTCCTCAAGATCGGGTGACTAGACTAGGGCTGTGCTGAGGAGACCATAGAGGACAAAGCGACGGTCCCTCTCTCAGCCACGCCCCCGCCTGAATATGGAGAGCATCCGCGAGGTGGCCACGTGCTTCAGCGTCGTCCTAGAGATGGCACCCCTGGAGCCGCTCCTCTGGACGCCGCTGGCCGCGGCCGTTTCGCCTCGGTCTGCGTCATCATCCGCTGGCAAAGTGGTCGTTCTACGCGCTGGACCGATCGCCAACCCACCTCGCCCTCGCGCCGCCCGCTAAGGCGAGAGAAAAAAGCCGAACGGCACCACGCAGTCCTTCGGCATGAAGCAGTCGTGCACAGTTTTCATATGGTTCTTCATCTTATCCGGCCTGGAGAACTCCTTGCCGCAGACCGGGCACGGGAACACTTTCCTCTGGTGCCCCTCGTGGTACAGGAAAGCGTGTCGTTGGAAGCTGTACTTGTTCTTGAACGTCTTCTGAATGTCGAGCTTCGCACACTCGGTGCACTGGTAGACGCCCTCCGAGATTGAGGCGTAGCGAAAGAGATTCAGCCCGCGGACGGACATCTCTGTTAGCTGTTCAGCTGGGTCCTGGGAGTGAGAGGTGGCACGACGTCTCATGCGTCTCTTGGGCACCTGTCGCCCAGGTGGAGCTGACATAGTGCCGATCTGATGACCGCTGGTCGACGACGAGTTGTTGGTTGGTGCCGGGCTGCTGCTAGTGCTGCTCCCTCCGCTGTTCTGCGCGTTGTTCCTGCCAGTTGCTGGCGACACCGACGAGCTTCTCGTGGACGTGGTCGTGGTCGTCGTGCCGGAGTTGGACGCTGTGCTCGACGCTGAGCTGGTGGTCGTGGTCAACGAGGTGCTGGTGCTCGTCGATCTCGCGTTCGATCCCTCGCTCCCAGCTGCGTTCGCCGTGGATCCTGACCCGAGGTTTCGTCCCTTCTCTTTCCACGTCTCTCCGTCCGATTTCGCGCTCCCCGATGAGAACTCTGCGAAAAGACCAAAGTCAGTACACTCTGATTCCGCCATGTCGGCTACAACGTTACGACAATCAGCTGTTCATAAGGAACAAAAAGGAACAAAAAGAAACGTGTCGACTTTGCTCTCTGGCTAAAAGGGTGTGTGTATACATGAAATTGCATGCAACTGCAAGCTGATTCGTACTGAAAACAAATATCCGATGCCACTCTGGTGTGCATCGGACGTATACTCTGATGCGTGCAGAACAGAAATACGTAGCTCTACAGCGAGTCGTGAAGGAAAGATATATATAATCATGGAGAGAAAATAAAATCCGGATAACACCTGAAAATAAAAGTCATAATGTAAAACTCGGTTCCTCTACTCGGTGGGATCGTGTCATCATAGGTGGGGAGACAGGTGGGATCGAGAGAATAGAAATTCAAGGGAGGTTCTGTGACTACGGGAATAAAAGGTCTTACACTGATACCAAAAAAAACATGAAACGAAAAGAAAGAAAAGAAAAAAAAAAAACCAAAGTATGATCGTACCATTTTCTTTTCTTTTTTTTAACAACTTGCGAGACAAAACGAGTCGTGCCTGTCTTACGTTTTTGTGTATGTACTCGTGACATAGAGGATCGACGGATTGATCCCGAGCCGTCCATCGATTGCACGCTGAAAATTCTTGACGAACGTGAATGAACATAAAATGGAGGGCAACGAACAAAGATGGGGCAGGCACAGTGGCGACATCGACTAAGGACGGGGCCCCGTCCTACGTCTGTTCCCGAGTCAACGCGAGTAATTTTCGTTGCAACTGGAAGCTTTCCAAAATGTGTCGGGAGGATAAATAGGCGTTGCGTTCTACAGTCGTGTATTGCGCGTTCGGGAAAAGAAGGCACAGCGTGTTTACATCCTCACGGCTTGGCTATTAGACGAAAACAGTGACAGATGATCTTTGTCACCATATTCTCACGATCTACTTGATTAACTCCACTGACACTCTCATGATGACAGACAGTGACCGCTAACGATGATGACCAAAAACAATGACCGATGATCTTTGTCATCATCCTCGGCCATCATCGATAGTGGTCATTACGTCTGTAATCATGGAAATATCAGTGGAGTTAATCAAACGTGAGAATGTAAACACGTTGTGCCTTCTTTCCTCGAACGCACAATACCCGAATCTGTGTCGTATAACGCACCCCGTGCCGTATTTTGTAACGCAAAGCTGCAAGAAACGCTGGTCCGATTGATATGAAAATCGGGGACCATCGTTCCTCGCAACGATGACGCCATGATAACGTGAAAATGGAAGTTGTGATTATAATCGGTGATCGTAACGTGAGTATGACAGCCAGCGGGCTGATAAAAATCAAAAGTTAAACGAACAAACCATGTACATATATATATTTATCTTTCTTCTTGTTCTCCAAATTGTTTCGCTCTGCTTTATTGTCCGGACAGTAAAAATAATAAATCAACAATACGCGTACGCAACATGCAAAACAAAAGTCCATAAAAAATAATAATCGCCGACATCCTGCCGCGACTGGCCCCTCGAGTAGCCGGAACGTCCGCGTGTTTTGCCCTATCGACAATACCACAATCATCGACGAGTATAGCCGTCGTAGTTAAACCGAGTAGTCTATGGTCACCGTCGAGACGTTCCCTCTTTACTCGAGCAAGCCACACACAGTAGGAATCTTAATATCTAGAGATCGTCTGGCCGGTTCTTGGCTAATCGTTCCTCGCCGGTCACGCGGCCGATACTACACGAGAAAATGGCGGTCCACCCCTGGCGGGGGCCGTTCGAATTACTCCACTGGCGGAGCGCGCGTGTCCCCGGTGGGGCTCGACGAACGATCGACGCCGGCCAGACCCATCCACGATCGCTAAAACGAAACTAAATAAAAGTAATTTTTGGCTAAGAGTAACGGTGCTTCGTGGTGTGAGTGCGGGAATTCTCGAATTTGGTGTACGTGTGGACATATATCGAGATGTACAAATGGGGGATGGGGGATGTGTGATTTCTGTTTCAAATGACTAACGAGAAATCTCTACGTAAGAACACGTTTGTGGAACGTAGCAGGGAGATTAGAGAGAAGAGAAAAAAAATAAAAATAAAAAATAAGGAAATTAAAAAAGAAAAAAAAAAATAATGAAAAACGAGAAGCGACAAATCTTTCCGTTTCGAAGTAACTTTTATGGCACTTTCGCGACGATTCGTAGCATTTGGGAGATACCCAGAGTCTCCAAACAGCTCGCACACTCGCGTTCCACACACGTGCGACACAATGATATCAACGCAGTAATAATAACGGACAATAATAACGAGGGGAAAAAAAAAGAACGTAACGAAAAGGAAGTGAAATAAAGTTCTACTGCGCTGCTTAGTCGATTATGGTAATTACCTTCTTTGCCGAGTTTCGATTAGTCCGCTAGTTTCCTCGACAAGCGTGTGTTATACGTATATATTAGAGGACATGTCCAGGTCACTAGTTCGTGATCGATTCTCGTTACAACAACGCACAACTTCGCGATATCTCGATCACTTTTCTCTCCCTTTTTTCCTTCCTTTCCCTTTCCGTTTCGCCTCGCTGGCAAATCGCGAAACGTTCAACACACCGTTTCTTCCTTCGTCTTTTCTCTTTTTCCATCCGATTATCTCTCTTCCCGCTCGCATTCCTTCTCCCGGTCAAACGAATCCCCGGGAGCGCGAGATGCGAGCGCCGGGAAGGACGAACGTGGGGGCGACCGGGGCGCCGCCCCGCGGCGGGAAACGCAAACGAAAGAAAAGAATATTGGTAAAATGTGTAACGCATAGAATCAAGAGTGACGTAACAGCTGAAATTTACTAAAGTGTTATTGCAGTTAATGGATGAAGCTTCGTACAAGAAACTCGCGCTTGATAAATGTAAAATTCGCTCCTTTCAACGCAATTCGTTATCACAAGGAGAAACGATATCGATTTCTTTTTCTTTCAATGAACATTTAAACAATAGATGGCGCTACAGCCTTTCACGCGCGAAAGAGAACCGTTTCGAATAACGAACAGCTCTCTTTCCCCCGTTAACACAGTGGTGTGAAATTTTTCTTTCCTTCGATGCGCTATTTTGTACGTACATTTCGGATAAATCGCTAGGGCGGTTTTCCGAGATCGGCCGTCCGGGTACGCTTCGAATCGTGGAAACACGACGAGCGGTGATCGTTTCTAGTTACCCGACCGGACGCCATCGCGCGGCCGATCTCGGAAAATCGGCCCGGGGGCACGCACACGATCGGAAATGTGGTTTCTAAAAACGTGAGTATGTATTGCGCGCGCAAACAACGGAGACGTGAATGTATTGAGACAAAAGTCGGTACACAGCGAGACTTAAAAATCCTTCATGTTTTTACAATCTATTGAACACCGTTCTTTTTATTATCGATAGTCATAATCAAACAATCAGTGCATATAAAATATACTAAGTCTACCCAGCGTCAGAAAAGACTCGTCTTCTCTAAAAAGTTCCCTATAAAATTTTTCATCTTGTTTTTCTTTTTATTATTAATATTATTATTCTGCTTCTTCTCTCTCTCTCTCTCTTTTTTTTCTTTTTCTTTTTTTCTCTCTCCCTTATTATTTCCCTTTTACGCTCGTTTCACGACAAGGTCTCACTTATTTGGCACTAGATCTGCGATCGTCGGGGCGCGGCCTTCCGTTATTTGTTTTTTTTTCTTTTTTTTTTTCGCTTTTTCTCTTTTAAAAAAAGGGATTATACACACACGCGCGCGCGCACGCGCCGCACGATCGCGGGCTTCGATAACAATTTTTATTATTATTACTCCGTTTTTTTTCTCTCTCTCTCTCCCTCTCTCGCTCTCTCGCTCTCTCTCGCTCTTTTTTTTCTTCAACTTTTTTTTTCTTTTTTTTCTCTTTTTTCTTTTTTTTTCATTCATCATCGTCATTTATTTTATGTCGCTTAAAAAGGCACCAAATCGGGGATTACACCGCTACATATTATTGGATCCCACTGAAGTACGTTAATTCAACGTATAATATATTAAAGTTAAAAGTCAACCACATATCTCTTTTTGCTTTCTTTTCCGTTCGTCTCTTTCCCCTTCCCTTTCTTTCCCTCCCTTCCTCCTCAACCCTCTCCCGTCCCC